AGGTCCATTATTTTTAATAGAGATAAAACGTCTATTTTTTTAAACACAAGAGAATGACCTAAAAAAACACTCAATAGAAAGATCACGTTCATTAATTGCATTTTTTTTATACTACAAAATAAAGTTAAAGAGCATTTTCAGTAATAACTAAAAATATTTTAAAACCCCCAATAATCAGATTCCAAAGGGAGTTCATAGTTTTATTTATATTTATTTATATCCCTTATTGCCTTTGGAGTCCAATTATTTGAAGAAAAAAATCCTAAAATTCTGGCATACCAAATTTTCGATTTAAACCAATGTCTCTCCTCACCCCCTTTGAAGTCTTTTAGAAAACAAAAAATAAAACTAACGTTTTTTCTTATTTAATTTTTAACAAGGTAGTAAGAAGTTTGTAATTTTTTTTTTATAAATGAGAGGAAACATTAAAATCAATATATTTAATAAGGGTAAATTTGGAAAACAAATGTTAGCTTGTTTGATGCATAAATTGCATTGTTTTAAGTGTAAAGAAAAAGACACATGTCATGAGGAAAAGTGAAAAGGTCCAAAAATGAAGGTTGCTAGCATTCCCCTTGTCTAATTCGCAAGTGAATAGGTCACACGCGGTATGCCTGTGTGAAATATCATCTTTCCAAATTCCACTAATAAAGTACCACCACGTGTAACAGAATTTTAGGCGTTCATCATTCTATGGGGTCCTTGTCAATCACTCAACAATTACCACTTTCGTAAAAGTCGTTTGGTAATTAGTACGTACCTTGATACATTGTTACTTTGGGAAAAGTTATAATAAAGACAAAATCTTGAGTGGATTCTCGAATTAACTTGATGTAATCGGCATCTTGTGTGGCTTGTTACGAATTTAACTTAAATATATTAACAATCAGTGGCGGATCTAGCTAAAAATTTCAGAAAAATAAAATATGTATGCAGCTCCCTAAACCCAAGACTCTAGAGGCATATGCATGCATGCACAAGAGAGAGAGAGAGTTTAGTATGTAAATTTTGGCTACCCGATTTTTGAATTCTGAAACTGCCACTGCCTATAACATTAAAGAGAGAGAATTTAGTATGTAAATTTTGGCTACCCGACTTTTGAATTCTAAAACAATCACAGCATATAACATTAAAGTATGCAATATCTCTTCTCACTAATCTTATGTTGCTAATGGTCATATGTGTATACATTGAATAGGTGCAAACTAAGTCACAACATGGAGAGAGAGAGAGAGAGAGAGAGAGAGAGAGAGAGAGGTATGTAAATCTTGTCTACCCAACTTTTGAATTTTACCTACCCGACTTTTGAATTCTGAGAGAGAAGTATGTAAATTTTGCCTACCCAACTTTTGAATTTTATGTACCCAACTTTTGAATTCTGAAACCACCACTGTTAACAACATAGTACTAAATGTATGTTATGTTTCCTAGCTATAAGTAAACCCACTAGCATTGAGTTTCAGAACGTAACACATAGACAGTCCAATGGCTTCTTCAATGGAGAGAAAAAGCCATCCCAAAATAAATCATGTTAAGACTGAGGATGAAATTACAAAGGAAGAGGAAGAAAAAAGCTTTAGCTATGCCCTGCAGTTGGTGGGTTCTTCTGCGCTGTCCATATCTCTACAATCAGCAATTGAGCTTGGCATTTTTGACATCATAGCCAGAATGGGTCCAGGCGCCAAGCTCTCTTCGTCTGAGATCGCAGCCAAGATTGGCACCAAGAATTCTGAGGCACCCATGATGTTGGATAGGATCCTCAGGCTCCTCACCAGCCACTCTATTGTCCATTGCTCTCTTGTTGCTGCTAATGAGGATGAAAATGGTGCGTCTGATTTTCAGAGGGTCTATAGCCTTGGCCCCGTATCCAAGTACTTTGTGAATGATGATGAAGGTGGTTCTCTAGGCCCCTTGTTGACATTGACTCAAGACAAGGTCTTCACGGAAAGCTGGTTAGTTTAGTCCTCTTTGGCTTGCTACTAAATAAGAAAAATTGATATATATCCAAATTCCTATTGAAGAGTTGGGTTTAATCATTGGATTTGGTGACTTTGATTCAAGTCCTTTGATTTTTGTGCCATATAAAATTACATTCCTATTTTAATATTTTATTATGTAATCTTTATATTATTTTATTTTTAAAATCATTTTTTGTTCCAATGTTGCCCCTTATGACTTGAATCGGGTAATAGTGATTTATGTCATATTGCCCATAGCTATATATATGTTTTTTCATATTTTTGACAATGTGTAATAGTATTTTATATACCTATTTTTTTTTATAGGTAACATACAATTTTATTTTGTCTATTTTTGCATCTGACTTATAAGTAGTCTTCTAATATATGTTCCTAACTTATAGGTAACACGATTTATCACTAAGTATTTTTCGTTGCTAATAATAACACTATTTACCTGTATGTCAGGTATATAATTTAATGTGAGTGCTTGTCTGATTGATTGGTATAATATGTGGGTCTTTATTTTTTATTGATTAAATTGTATTTTATCAATATATTTGGAATATTATCAAGGAAAGAATTCAAAATTTAAATTCTAGAATTCAATTACAAGGAAATAATGCATTAAATTTAGATTTTCAATGTGTTTTCCTTATTTACCTCAAAAGGTAAAATCAACACAACAAAAAAAGTAATAAATGTTAAAGGACCTACATCTAAAACCACAAAACGCGAGGACTAAACCCAATAACAGCTAATCGTTTTGGACCTAGATCTAAGAAGCCCAATAAGTTATCCTCTTTCCTTTCGTCCTTTATTCATTTATTACTAATTTATTACTAATTTTTTATAGAGTCGGGATGGAGGAATACACAAAAAGCCACACTTTTCGACATACCTTTTCAGCCTTTAGAGTTCAAAAAATATGAAATTTAAAAAACAATTCATATATTTATGAAGACATTTAGTCAGTACAGTCTGACGTGCCAAACGAGCCATAAGTAGCTACATAGCATATGTTTATGTGATTTCAATGGGTCCTCTTTCTCTTTGATCACTTTATACTTTGTTTTTTAAACAAGTTGAAGGCAATAGTTGTGTGAGGTGAGTGAGGCTTGGACTTCATAATACAAAGGTTTCATTGGCAGAAGGAATCACAAAATTGCATTATCTTCATCTTCTTCTTCCTTTTACAGAGTGAAACGTGTGCTCTAAAGAAAGAAAAAATTGTGACAAAGAAAGGGTTGTTTTGAATAGTTAGAGAGAGAAAATGGTTGGTATAAATGAGTGGGAAGAGAATATACAGCTAATGTAAGAAAAATACTTTATTGTAACTGGGATCGCATTGTTTTGCTATTCCCGGCCAATAATACAATGACATTGTTGATAAGTTATCACATGTGTCATTATGTTATTGGCCAGGGATAGCAAAAAGTGTTATTCCCGTTATATGAGAGTTTCTCTCTGTAGGAATAAAAAATTATCTCCTAATGTAGAGATAGTCTCGTACTGTGTGCAATGGGTTAATGACATCAATAAAACAATAAATGAGCTATCAGATGTGTTTTCAACCGTTGGATAAAGAAACATCTAAAGGCTGAAAAGGTGTGTCAAGAAGTGTAGCCTTTTGTGTGTCCCTGATCTTGACCCTTCTTATCTATTTAAGTTTGATTAATGTACTGGCACATGCAATACACATGATTATATTTAAAAAAAAAAGGAGTTTCACTAAAATACCCAAAATGGGGGCTGAAATTATAAAAATACCCAACACCCAAAACACTTTATAAACATACCCAAAACTCATCATTACACACACTCAAAACACATTTATAAACATGCCCAAAACCCATCATTACACACATACCCAAAACCCATTTTGGGTATGTTTCTATGTTTAAATAGTGCTTGGGTATTTTTATAAATATATGTCTAGGATTGGGTATTTTTATAAATATCTATAATAAAAAAATTAGTATAATGAAGAAACTAGAAAACGGGAGAATGATGGAACTTGGGTGTAAGGAGACATATTCACTGTTATTATACCCAAATTAACAGACAATCTCATTCCTTAAAATGACATAATTAAAGTCCGTATGGGATCTTGGCTAGGGAAGTAACCATTAAAATTATAAATGGTCCACCCAATAATAGAAGAAAGGCCCTATATAATTCAAAGAAACAACTCACATAGTTTGTGCTTATTATAATACTAATAGGGTTTCTAACTCCAACTTTCTACACATAATAAATCTACAGGTCTCAACTGAAAGATGCAGTTGTTGAAGGAGGAATTCCATTCAACAGGGTCCATGGCATGCAAACTTTTGAGTTTCTAGGTTTGGACCCCAGGTTTAATAAAGTGTTCAACACAGGAATGTTTAACCACACCACTTTTGTCATCAAGAAACTTCTTCATATCTACAAGGGCTTTGAAGACAAGAACCTCACACAACTTGTTGATGTTGGTGGTGGTTTGGGAGTGACCCTTAATCTGATCACATCTAAATATCAACATATAAAGGGTATCAATTTCGACTTGCCCCATGTCGTCAATCATGCCCCTTCCTATCCTGGTAGGACTTTAATTTATTTGATTCAATGTGAAATCTTAGTTTTTGCTTCATCAGAAGCAGTGTGCAGCATAAAATGGGAGTTAAATTTTTTTTGCAGGTGTGGAACATGTTGGAGGAGACATGTTTGCTAGTGTTCCAAGTGGGGATGCCATTTTTCTGAAGGTAATTTTGAATTTCTCAAACATTAATTAAATTTTTGGTTTTCTTCTTTTAGTTTAACAATGGTAACTATATATATGAAGCTGTTCTACTTGTCTTCTGATACATTTGTTTGTAGTGGATACTTCATAATTGGAGCGACGAGCACTGCCTAAAGCTGTTGAAGAATTGTTACAAAGCTATTCCAGACAATGGAAAAGTGATTGTTGTGGAAGAACTACTTCCAGCTATGCCAGATACTCGCACTGCTGTGAAATGCACTTCCCAACTTGATGTGATTATGATGGCTCAAATTCCAGGAGGGAAGGAGAGGAGTGAACAAGAATTCATGGCCCTGGCAACTGGTGCTGGATTTAGTGGCATCAGATATGAATGTTTTGTCTGTAACCTTTGGGTTATGGAATTCTTTAAGTAGCCTAGTGATATGAAAGCTTACGCACTAAAATGAAAGTGTTCCGAGCCGGTGCTCACATCACATCAATAACAAAAACACTCAATTCAAGAATATTTGCAAATGTTTCTCGTCTATAAGCAAGAAATTATTTAAGACTCAGAACATTTTGTCTGCAGATTATTTTACTTTTATCTTTCCCTTTTAAAGTAAAGTAACAAATCTTTCATTCGGCTTTGGTCAACGAGTAAAACAAATCTTTATAGAACATATATGACTACGCTTATTAGGTAAAACTCTGGTGTTACGATGTCCGTAGTTTAAACCTAGCTTCGTGCTCACTCTTTCATCATTAGGCCACCTATGACCAAAGTGTCAGCTTGACCCGCATACAGTAAACAAGGCTCATTCACAATACACATAATAAGGAAAAAACGAGAGAAGGATAAAGCAAAAGAGGTAGCTCCTCCTCCTGTGACAAAGAGAGTATGTCCCCATATGGCTGTGGCACGTTCTTATGAAATCTCAATCTAATAATAATAAATAAAAATATTGAAGACATTGTATTTATATAATTAATTTAAGATTACCTTTTATCCACTCGAGCGGTGACACACTGACGAGGTAAGGTAACAATATTGTTGTTGTTACAGTTACAGACATTCTAAGGGATGACAATGTGTTTCTTCAAGCTGATGCTGATAGTCTGGAGTTGTCATGAACTTTTGTTTGTACCTTTTTTATGTGTTGCACTCTTTTTCCTTCATCTCAGGTTTTGTCCCACTGAGTTTTCCTAGGCAATGTTTTAATGAGGCCACGTTTGTTCGCTCGAGTCTGTAACCTTTCCCAATTTTAATGAACATTTACCACTTCCACTCAAAAAAAAAAAGGGGGATGACAAAAAAACTGATGTTTAAAAGATATGCATTGCTGTCTTGCTTTATTTTTAATGTTTAACAAATAGAATCATATCTAAACAAAATATATAAAAGCACAAAAAGGCATCTCTTATGCATTCTACATGGCCATAGCTCAGAAGAGTTTTTATCCCTTATTTATATTTTCTTTCTTTTTTCAATAATTTTTTTTTGAGATCATGATTCATGGAGTGTAAAGTCCAATTCGTAAGTCATGAGCCAGCTCATGGTGCAGTTGATAATTTTTGTCCCAGCCAGTAATTTCATTGAAAAGAAGGGAAAGAAAAAAGAAAGAAGGAGAATTTCAATGAATTAGACGTGGGTTGAAAACTCAGTTATACAAGGAAAAGAAAAAGGTCCATGTAAGTTTGCAAGGGAAAGAAAAAAGAAAGAAGGATAATCAATCTTCTTGATTCAGAGCCTTTGTTTAATGGGGAATGCTAGCAACCTTCTCTCCAACCTTCTCTTTTGGACCTTCTCCATTTTCCTCATGACATGTGTCACTTTTCTTACACTTAACACAATGTAACTAATACATCAAATAAGCTAACATTTGTTTTCCAAGTTTACCCTTATTAAATGTATTCTCCTTCAATTTGTTCAAAAATAATTTTACAACTCTCTTACCACATGTAAAAAATTAATAATAAAAAATGTCAGTTTTTTTAAAAAGAAAAGGTCCATTTTTTTATAGAGATAAAACATCTATTTTTTTAAACACAAAAGAATGACCTAAAGAAACACTCAATAGAAAGATCACGTTCATTAATTGCATTTTTTTATACTACTAAATAAAGTTAAAGAGCATTTTCGTAATAACTAAAAATATTTTAAAACCCCCAATAATCAGATTCCAAAGGGAGTTCATAGTTTTATTTATATTTATATGAGTGGTGATTTCCCCATTCCAATTTTATCAACTTACACTCCATTTTATAACTAAAAAAGGAGTGTAAGCGGATAAAATTGGAGTGGGGAAATCATTACCCTTTATTTATATCCTTTATTGCCTTTGGAGTCCGATTATTTGAAGAAAAAAAATCCTAAAATTCTGGCATACCAAATTTTCGATTTAAACCAATAAAACTAACGTTTTTTCTTATTTAATTTTTAACAAGGTGGTAAGAAGTTTGTTATTTTATTTTATTTTATTTTATAAATTAGAGGAAACATTAAAATCAATATATTTAATAAGGGTAAATTTGGAAAATAAATGTTAGCTTGTTTGATGCATTAATTGCATTGTTTAAAGTGTAAGGAAAAAGACACATGTCATGAGAAAATGGGAAAATGTCCAAAAGAGAAAGTTGCTAGCATTTCCCTTGTCTAATTCGCAAGTGAATACGCGGTATGCCTGTGTGAAATATCATCTTTCCAAATTCAACTAATAAAGTACCACCACGTGTAACATAATTTTAGGCGTTCATCATTCTATGAGGTCCTTGTCAATCACTCAAGAATTACCACTTTCATGAACCTCACCACCATTGTCATCAAGAAACTTCTTCATATCTACGAGGGTCTTGAAGACAAGAACCTCACACAACTTGTTGATGTTGGTGGTGGTTTGGGAGTGACACTAATCTGATCACATCTAAATATCAACATATAAAGGGTATCAATTTTGACTTGCCCCATGTCGTAAATCATGCCCCTTCCTATCCTGGTAGGACTTTAATTTATTTGATTCAATGTGAAATCTTAGTTTTTGCTTCATCAGAAGCAGTGTGCAGCATAAAATGGGAGTTAAATTTTTTTTGCAGGTGTGGAACATGTTGGAGGAGACATGTTTGCTAGTGTTCCAAGTGGGGATGCCATTTTTATGAAGGTAATTTTTGAATTTCTCAAGCATTAATTAAATTTTTGGTTTTCTTCTTTTTGTTTAACAATGGTAACCATATATATGAAGCTGTTCTACTTGTCTTCTGATACATTTGTTTGTAGTGGATGCTTCATGATTGGAGCGATGAGCACTGCCTAAAGCTGTTGAAGAATTGTTACAAAGCTATTCCAGACAATGGAAAAGTGATTGTTGTGGAAGAACTACTTCCAGCTATGCCAGATAATCGCACTGCTGTGAAAAGCACTTCCCAACTTGATGTGATGATGATGACTCAAAATGGCTTCTTCATTGGAGAGAAAAAGCCATCCCAAAATAAATCATGCTGAGCCTGAGGATGAAATTACAAAGGAAGAGGAAGATGAAAGCTTCTGCTATGCCATCCAGCTGGTGGGTTCTTCTGTGCTGTCCATGTCTCTGCAATCAGCAGTCGAGCTTGGGGTTTTTGACATCATAGCCAGAGAGGGTCCAGACTCCAAGCTCTCTTCGTCTGAGATTGCAGCCAAGATTGGCACCAAGAACCCTGAGGCACCCATGATGGTGGATAGAATCCTCAGGCTCCTCGCCAGCCACTCTGTTCTTAATTGCTCTGCTGTTGCTGCTAATGGTGGGTCTGATTTTCAGAGGCTCTACAGCCTTGCCCCTGTGTCTAAGTACTTTGTGAATGATGAAGAAGGTGTTTCTTTAGGCCCCGTTTTGACATTGATTCAAGACAAGGTCTACATGGAAAGCTGGTTAGTTTAAGCCCACTTGCCCCTGCTACTAATTAATTATCCTCTTTCCTTTTCTATATTTTCTTAATTTATTTTTAATCTTTTGACTAATTATTATTATTATTATTATTTAAGTTTGATTAATATATTGGCACATGCATTACTCATAATTATATTAAAATTAGTATAATGGGAAAACCAGAAAACTACTCGGGAATGATCAAACTTCTGTGTAAGGGGATGGACTCACTCCATAGTCCTTAAAATGGCATAATATTAAAGTCAGTCTGGGAATCTTGGCTAGGGAAGTAACTATTAAAATTATACATGGTACACCCAATAATAGAAGAAAGGCCCTATATAATTCAACTTTTATTAAGTTCCCCAAATCAAAGAAACAAACCACATAGTTTGTACTAATTATAATACAAATAGCCAATAGGGTATCTAACTCCAACTTTCTACACATAATAAATTCACAGGTCTAATCATGCCCCTTCCTATCCTGGTAGGACTTTAATTTATTTGATTCAATGTGAAATCTTAGTTTTTGCTTCATCAGAAGCGGTATGCAGTACATATAAAATGGAAGTTAAATATTTTTTTTTGCAGGTGTGGAACATGTTGGAGGAGACATGTTTGCTAGTGTTCCAAGTGGGGATGCCATTTTTATGAAGGTAATTTTTGAATTTCTCAAGCATTAATTAAATTTTTGGTTTTCTTCTTTTTGTTTAACAATGGTAACCATATATATGAAGCTGTTCTACTTGTCTTCTGATACATTTGTTTGTAGTGGATGCTTCATGATTGGAGCGATGAGCACTGCCTAAAGCTGTTGAAGAATTGTTACAAAGCTATTCCAGACAATGGAAAAGTGATTGTTGTGGAAGAACTACTTCCAGCTATGCCAGATAATCGCACTGCTGTGAAAAGCACTTCCCAACTTGATGTGATGATGATGACTCAAAATCCAGGAGGGAAGGAGAGGAGTGAACAAGAATTCATGGCCCTGGCAACTGGTGCTGGATTTAGTGGCATCAGATATGAATGTTTTGTCTGTAACTTTTGGGTTATGGAGTTCTTTAAGTAACTAAGGCATATGAAAACTTACACACTAAAATGTAGGTGTTAAGTCTTCAAGGCTAATAAAAGATTGGCAAATGTTTCTTATCTATAAGCAAGAAAATACTGAAGACTCAGAGTACTGCACCTAAAGTCTGCAGATTATTATTTTACTTAATTTACTTTGATCTTTCCCTTCTAAAGTAACAGAAGAAACGTAATGATATGAGTTACACATATCTATTCTAAGTTCCACAGCATCATGCATCCAATTAAGTGGTCACCAATAGACAGGATCAGAGTCAAACATTACGCCAGCCACTCTGTTCTTAATTGCTCTGCTGTTGCTGCTAATGGTGGGTCTGATTTTCAGAGGCTCTACAGCCTTGCCCCTGTGTCTAAGTACTTTGTGAATGATGAAGAAGGTGTTTCTTTAGGCCCCGTTTTGACATTGATTCAAGACAAGGTCTACATGGAAAGCTGGTTAGTTTAAGCCCACTTGCCCCTGCTACTAATTAATTATCCTCTTTCCTTTTCTATATTTTCTTAATTTATTTTTAATCTTTTGACTAATTATTATTATTATTATTATTTAAGTTTGATTAATATATTGGCACATGCATTACTCATAATTATATTAAAATTAGTATAATGGGAAAACCAGAAAACTACTCGGGAATGATCAAACTTCTGTGTAAGGGGATGGACTCACTCCATAGTCCTTAAAATGGCATAATATTAAAGTCAGTCTGGGAATCTTGGCTAGGGAAGTAACTATTAAAATTATACATGGTACACCCAATAATAGAAGAAAGGCCCTATATAATTCAACTTTTATTAAGTTCCCCAAATCAAAGAAACAAACCACATAGTTTGTACTAATTATAATACAAATAGCCAATAGGGTATCTAACTCCAACTTTCTACACATAATAAATTCACAGGTCTCAACTGAAAGATGCAGTTGTTGAAGGAGGAGTTCCATTTAACAGGGTCCATGGCATGCACGGTTTTGGTTATCCAGGTTTGGACCCCAGGTTTAATCAAGCGTTCAACACAGCAATGTTTAACCTCACCACCATTGTCATCAAGAAACTTCTTCATATCTACGAGGGTCTTGAAGACAAGAACCTCACACAACTTGTTGATGTTGGTGGTGGTTTGGGAGTGACACTAATCTGATCACATCTAAATATCAACATATAAAGGGTATCAATTTTGACTTGCCCCATGTCGTAAATCATGCCCCTTCCTATCCTGGTAGGACTTTAATTTATTTGATTCAATGTGAAATCTTAGTTTTTGCTTCATCAGAAGCAGTGTGCAGCATAAAATGGGAGTTAAATTTTTTTTGCAGGTGTGGAACATGTTGGAGGAGACATGTTTGCTAGTGTTCCAAGTGGGGATGCCATTTTTATGAAGGTAATTTTTGAATTTCTCAAGCATTAATTAAATTTTTGGTTTTCTTCTTTTTGTTTAACAATGGTAACCATATATATGAAGCTGTTCTACTTGTCTTCTGATACATTTGTTTGTAGTGGATGCTTCATGATTGGAGCGATGAGCACTGCCTAAAGCTGTTGAAGAATTGTTACAAAGCTATTCCAGACAATGGAAAAGTGATTGTTGTGGAAGAACTACTTCCAGCTATGCCAGATAATCGCACTGCTGTGAAAAGCACTTCCCAACTTGATGTGATGATGATGACTCAAAATCCGGGAGGGAAGGAGAGGAGTGAACAAGAATTCATGGCCCTGGCAACTGGTGCTGGATTTAGTGGCATCAGATATGAATGTTTTGTCTGTAACTTTTGGGTTATGGAGTTCTTTAAGTAACTAAGGCATATGAAAACTTACACACTAAAATGTAGGTGTTAAGTCTTCAAGGCTAATAAAAGATTGGCAAATGTTTCTTATCTATAAGCAAGAAAATACTGAAGACTCAGAGTACTGCACCTAAAGTCTGCAGATTATTATTTTACTTAATTTACTTTGATCTTTCCCTTCTAAAGTAACAGAAGAAACGTAATGATATGAGTTACACATATCTATTCTAAGTTCCACAGCATCATGCATCCAATTAAGTGGTCACCAATAGACAGGATCAGAGTCAAACATTAATTGAGACATATTAAAGAAAACTGCAGGAAAGGTTGATGCATCCCGATTTACGGCTCGACTGGGGTGGTTTAAAAACTTAAACGCTGTGGAACACTATGCTCCATAAGCCCTATTTGATAACTATAACAGCACAAACTACAAAGGCCATCAAAACCCATCTTTGGAGGTTTGTATCTCACCATTCTTCTTCAGCCACATAAACAGAAGGAATAGTCTAATGAAACTAGCAAGTACATTATAAAAGATGCTAAGAACATTATACCTAATTTATTTTTAATCTTTTGACTAATTATTATTATTATTATTATTTAAGTTTGATTAATATATTGGCACATGCATTACTCATAATTATATTAAAATTAGTATAATGGGAAAACCAGAAAACTACTCGGGAATGATCAAACTTCTGTGTAAGGGGATGGACTCACTCCATAGTCCTTAAAATGGCATAATATTAAAGTCAGTCTGGGAATCTTGGCTAGGGAAGTAACTATTAAAATTATACATGGTACACCCAATAATAGAAGAAAGGCCCTATATAATTCAACTTTTATTAAGTTCCCCAAATCAAAGAAACAAACCACATAGTTTGTACTAATTATAATACAAATAGCCAATAGGGTATCAAGGTATCATAAGAATTTGGATATCTTCAACTTTGTCATAAGCCAAGGGAAAAGACAACAATCCAAGGAACACATATATAGTTCCTTGAATAATTTTGCTTTTAGCAATTCTGAATGTACTTTGGAAACACCATTCACAGTATGGGAGCTTACAATCGCCGGGTTTGCCATTCGGATACTCTGTCAAATTAAATGGCAATTAATGGTCAAATTGCTAAACATTTTCTCATCAAGAAGACCAAAGAATCCTTAATAAACACCTTAAGAATGTACTTTTGAAAGGGGAAAAAAGAAGCCAAAAACTCATACAAAAGACTGCCTTGCAGAGATTTCCAAATGCCCCTTTTTTTCTATCCTCTTCTTTTGTTATGTCATCATTTAAGAGAGGATTATGATTGCAAGAATAAGCACAATGGTGTATGGATTAACTGTAAAAATACTACAGATAATACCAGACGCCAACCACAACAATTGGAAGCCCAGAATCATAAATCTACCACGAATACAATCAAATATACCATGAAATACTATATCTATTATAATTAGTTTATAAAGGAAAGCATAACAATCTGATGGAAATAGAACTCTAGGAGTAAAGATGAACCTAGAATAAAATCAATCAAATCAATATACAGATAGCGAAGAGAAAAAGTACCATTACATGAGAAAAATCATTGAATTCGGATCGTACAAGGTCGTTTGGGAGAGAGCGAACAGAGAAGAGAATAAGGCGGGAGAGGGAAAGAAAACCTAGGTTTTATGCCTAACAACAAACGAGTATATACCAATCTAAAATCTTGAAATAGTCAGAATCCTTTCTTTCTTTCTCTAGAGAATTTGGCATGCACTTGCTCCTCTATGGATGAAGGCCCTTTCTTCCTCTCTCCATTTCCTCAGAATCCTTTCTTTCCTTCCCTTTTCTTCAATCAACTAGAAGTATAAACTCGGGTTTTTTATTTATTTATTTTTGTAACAGTATAGCCGCTCGGCTATACTGGTTTTGAAACGGGGGGCAATAATCGCTAGGCAGATCCTTTTTTTTATTTTATTAAAGAGTAATTGAGCTTGGCCATGCAGCTGGTGGGTTCTTATGAACTGTCCATATCTCTGCAATCAACAATTGAGCTTGGCGTTTTCGACATCATAGCGAGAGAGGCTAAATCTTCATCTGAGATTGCAGCCAAGATTGGCACCCATGATGATGGATAGGATCCTCAGGCTCCTCACCAGCCATTCTGTTCTCCATTCCTCTCTTGCTGCTGCTAATTAGGATGAAAATGGTGGGTCTGATTTTCTGAGGGTCTATAGCCTTGGCCCTGTGTCTAAGTACTTTGGGCCCCTTGATGGCATTGATTGGCTCAAGACAAGATCTTCATGGAAAGCTAGTTATTGTTTTTGTTAAAGGGAAAATTTTGAGTGGTTTGGGTTTGAGTAGGCAGAAGAAAGTTGATTGAATTGGGTATTGGGTAATTTTTGGTTTGGCAAAAAATGGAGTAGGCGGCTGCCTACCCTACTCTTAAGGTAGGACGGCCCCTGGTGGGTTGGGTTTGAGTAGGTAGAAGAAATTTGATTTTATTGAATATTGGATAATTTTTGGTTTGGGAAAAAACCAAATGATATGAATTACAAAATGAAGACAAAGTACATTTATAACCTTGGTTAGAATAAGCTTATGCAAACAAAATGATGTTCACATATTTATGAACAATGCTGTGAGATATACACATATGTATGTATAAGCTTCAAAAACCGACCACAAGTTCTTCTCATATCTCAGCAGCATTACTTTTCAGGTTTGCTCTAGCCGCTCCCAATTATATATTTTTATGTGTCTTTACTCTTCTGTGTCAAAGCTTCCCTGAAATTTATATATTCAATAAAAGTATCGATAAGACATTTTATATTTTTTCGCTATACGAGCGTACACCATCGAGCCATGATGAATTGTGCGCCAAGGAAAGCTCTCAAGGTTTGGTCGACTTTTCAATTGAGTGGTTTAATGTTGAGTCAAATCAACATTGACAACTACCTTATTTCATAATTTAGGTAGAACATAAGTTAGGCATACCTTATTTCATAAATATATGTTAAATTTCATAGACAGGCCAACGGCTCATTATTAGCAGCACCGATATTGTACCCTACTTAATCACTTACAAAACCCAATAGGTGTGGAGTTTTATCACAAAAATCTCGGTGTTATTAGGAGTAGAACCAACCGCTTATATAAATTGTAATTTATTTAGTAAGTTTTGGACGTGGGACTTTTATATCTTCAACAATGGCTTCTTCATTGGAGAGGAAAAGACATCCCAAAATAAATCATGTTGAGACTGAGGATGAAATTACGAAGGAAGAGGAAGAAGAAAGCTTATGCTATGCCTTGCAGTTGGTGGGTTCTTATGCGCTGTCCATATCTCTGCAATTAGCAATTGAGCTTGGCGTTTTTGACATCATAGCCAAAGAGGGTCCAGGCGCCAAGCTCTCTTCGTCTAAGATCGCAGCCAAGATTGGCACCAAGAATTCTGAGGCACCCATGATGATGGATAGGATCCTCAGGCTCCTCACCAGCCACTCTGTTCTCCATTGCTCTCTTGTTGCTGCTAATGAGGATGAAAATGGTGCGTCTGATTTTCAAAGGGCCTATAGCCTTGGCCCCGTATCCAAGTACTTTGTGAATGATGAAGAAGGTGGTTCTCTGGGCCCCTTTATGGCATTGACTCAAGACAAGGTCTGCATGGAAACCTGGTTAGTTCAGTCCTCTTGGCCTTGTTACTAAATAAGTTATCCTCTTTTCTTTCCTCCTTTATTCATTTATTACTAATTTATTACTAATTTTTTATAGAGTCGGGATGGAGGAATACACAAAAAGCCACACTTTTCGACATACCTTTTCAGCCTTTAGAGTTCAAAAAATATGATATTTAAAAAAAACAATTCATATATTTATGAAGACATTTAGTCAGTAGAGTCTGACGTACCAAACGAGCCCTAAGTTGCTATATAGCATATGTTTATGTGATTTCAATGGGTCATCTTTCTCTTTGATAACTTTGTATTCTGTTTTTTAAACAAGTTGAAGGCAATAGTTGTGTGAGGTGAGGTGAGGCTTGGACTTCATAATACAAAGGTTTCATTGGCAGAAGGAATCACAAAATTGCATTATCTTCATCTTCTTCTTGCTTTTACAGAGTGGAACGTGTGCTTTAAAGAAAGAAAAAGTGATGACAGAGGAAAGGGTTGTTCTGAATAGTTAGAGAGAGAAAATGGTTGGTATAAACGAGGGGGAAGAGAATATACAGCTAATGTAGGAAAAAATACTTTATTGTAACGGGGATAGTACTGTTTTGCTATTCCTAGCCAATAATACAATGACACTGTTGATAAGTTATCTCATATGTCATTATGTTATTGGCCAAATATAGCAAAAAGTGTTATCCCCGTTGTTTGAGAGTTTCTCTCTATAGGAAAAAAATTCTCTCCTAATGTAGAGAGTCTCGTACTGTGTGCAGTAGGTTAATGACACCAATAAAATAATAAATGAGCTATCAGATGTGTTTTCCACCGTTGGATGAAGAAACATCTAAAGGTTGAAAAGGTGTGTCAAGAAGTGTAGCTTTTTGTGTGTCCCTGATCTTGACCCTCTTTATCTATTTAAGTTTGATTAATGTACTGGCACATGCATTACACATGATTATATAAAATTAAAAAAATTAGTATAATGAAGAAACTAGAAAACTATGGGAGAATGATGGAACTTGGGTGTAAGGAGATATTCACTGTTATTATACCCAAATTTACAGACAATCTCATTCCTTAAAATGGCATAATTAAAGTCAGTCTGGGATCTTGGCTAGGGAAGTAACTATTAAAATTATAAATGGTCCACCCAATAATAGAAGAAAGGCCCTTTATATAGTTCAAATTTTATTAAGTTCCCCAAGTCAAAGAAACAACTCACATAGTTTGTGCTAATTGTAATACTAATAGGGTATCTAACTCCAACTTTCTACACATAATAAATCTACAGGTCTCAACTGAAAGATGCAGTTGTTGAAGGAGGAATTCCATTTAACATGGCCCATGGCATGCCAACTTTTGAGTTTCTAGGTTCGGACCCCAGGTTTAATCAAGTGTTCAACACAGCAATGTTTAACCAGACCACCATTGTCATCAAGAAACTTCTTCACATCTACAAGGGTTTTCAAGACAAGAACCTCACACAACTTGTTGATGTTGGTGGTGGCTTTGGAGTGACCCTTAATCTGATCACATCTAGATATCCCCATATAAGGGGTATCAATTACGACTTGCCCCATGTCGTAAATCATGCCCCTTCCTATCCTGGTAGGACTTTAATTTATTTGATTCAATGTGAAATCTTAGTTTTTGCTTCATCAGAAGCAGTGTGCAGCATAAAATGGGAGTTAAATTTTTTTTGCAGGTGTGGAACATGTTGGAGGAGACATGTTTGCTAGTGTTCCAAGTGGGGATGCCATTTTTATGAAGGTAATTTTTGAATTTCTCAAGCATTAATTCAATTTTTGGTTTTCTTCTTTTAGTTTAACAATGGTAACTATATATATGAAGCTGTTCTACTTGTCTTCTGATACATTTGTTTGTAGTCGATACTTCATGATTGGAGCGATGAGCACTGCCTAAAGCTGTTGAAGAATTGTTACAAAGCTATTCCAGACAATGGAAAAGTGATTGTTGTGGGAGCACTACTTCCAGCTATGCCAGATACTCGCACTGCTGTGAAAAGCACTTCCCAATTTGATGTGATGATGATGACTCATGTTCGGGGAGGGAAGGAGAGGAGTGAACAAGAACTCATGGCCCTGGCAACTGGTGCTGGATTTAGTGGCATCAGATATGAATGTTTTGTCTGTAACCTTTGGGTTATGGAGTTCTTTAAGTAACCAAGGCATATGAAAATTCATACACTAAAATGAAAGTGTTAAGGCTCCAAGCCTAATAAAAGATTGGCAAATGTTTCTTATCTATAAGCAAGAAAATATTTCAGACTCGGAACTGCACATAAAGTCTGCAGATTATTTTACTTAATTTACTTTGATCTTTCCCTTCTAAAGTAACATAAGAAACGTAATGATATGAATTACAAAATGAAGACAAAGTACATTTATAACCGTGGTTAGAATAAGCTTATGCAAACAAAATGAAGAATGTCCACATATTTATGAACAATGCTGCGAGATATACACATGTATAAGCTTCAAAAACCGACCACAAGTTCTTTTCCTATCTCAGCAGCATTACTTTTCGGGTTTGCTCTAGCCGCTCCCGATTATATCTTTGTATGTGTCTTTAATCTTCTGCGTCAAAGCTTCCCTGAAATTTCAAACAAAAGATATGCCATGGAAATTCTATATGTTACTATGGCAAATCTTTTTTGGACCAATTAAAAGAAATATAAACTACTTATATTCCAATAAAGGTTTTTGTAGCAAATTGTACTCACCTGTCTGGTTTGAAAACAAGGTTCTTGTATGCAAACCACTGCAAAGATGCATAAGAAAGGCAGGGTGGTAAGAAGTAGGAAAGTGCAAGAAGTAGTGAATTGGGTTCTTTTATGGCATAATCTTAATTGAAAAGTTTCTAAAAGAATGCAAAAGCAAACAAAATCCAACTTACCCCAGTGTAGCCAATGCCTACAAGCTCAAGAACACCAGGGACTAAGGGAAGCCTATCAATTGCCTGTTACAAACATACCCATCAAGCAGATTAACCAGTCAATAATCGAATAATCGAGTAAGAAATTAGCTACTCAAATCTACAGAAATAAAAACACAGCAACTTAAAATTTTAATTTGGAAACTATGAGAAGCTAACACAGAATGTGGATAAGGAGAGAGACACACCGAGATCAATCCAGTGGAGCCCCATAGTGCAACAGCACCGGCCACCGCAAGTGAAGACACTGCATACTTATCTTCAACTTTTTCCCACTAGAAAGCAAAAACAAATCATTTTGTGTCATCTAACTTGCTGAGCTCCTTCATACAAAAACACTAGATAGTGCCATAACTGAATGAAAGGCTTACAGCTTCTTGAACTGTCTTCACAATCTCTGGGAACTCAGTTGTAGCCACTTCTGCAGGTGCTTCCCCTGTGGCCATGGCCATGACATTGCGCGCAATCTTACGACCTAAAAGAAATAAAAAAGAAATATCAGTATATATGCATTTTCTATCTAGATATCTAACATGTTATGTTACTAGACTGTCAATCTAAATGATACGTTTGAATAAAATTTAACTTGATCAATCGTCTAGATTGGTCAAATTGTTTGGAAAAACAAAATTTTCATCAAACATATAAAGTACTTTGTAAATACTAATGATAGTAATCATGGATGGCTCACAATAGGCAGTAGTCTTCCCTGGGCGGTTCTGAGACTGAACCAGGGGTGGAGGAAGCGTAGGGAGGGTCACACATTGCGGCGATGATGCTGCCGAGTGGCGGGGAGCCTTGGTATCAACAAGGGTGGATGAGGAGGAGATGGAAAGTGTGGAGGAGCTAGAGGCCATGGCTATTGAATCCCCTACAGGTTATTTAAGTCCTATGAGAGATTCTGAGGCCACCAAGGATGAGAAATTTGATACAGTAGTGTCTGATGAGTTTCAACTTATCTTTCTAGTTATCTTTGTTCTTGGTTTGTAATTTTGGAGGGGTTTTGATTATTTTGCAATGGACAGTGGAGATGGTGTTCTCTCAAGTTTGGGGATGGAGAACCACCCATTCCTCTTCATGTGGATAGTGTGATGACATGGCTTGTAGGATAGGCATTTTGTGGTGTTTGATTTGGATAGGAAGCTCCAGGTTGGATCTCTGTTGTGACCCAAAAAACTTCTCCATTATATTATCTTCCTCCCAAGGGCAAACTTTGTTTTCAAATTACCTTATGTTTACTCACCCATATGCCAATCTGTTCTTCTAATAAAATTTTAAAAGACGGGTTTGTAACTCAACTGATTAAGAGCAGTTATTTTGTTCTTCGATTTCCCTTTTCTACTATATCTTTTATAACATAAAATTAAAAAACTTACTAGTGGCAGTGGGGCACAACTGAGTGAAAACATTTAGCAAAATACTTCAAACATCTCCATCATGCTTTGATATGGGAAAGGTCTAAAAGAGTGTAAATATCTACATGTGCATATGTGATAGGCTGTTCCACCACCACCCAATGCTCTTTTAGTAAGAAGATTCTCATCTGGTGTTAAACATTTGCACTCCCTATCCACTACTGGCATGAGCCTCTCATTAATATTGATGAACAAAATATCCTTAAAGAAAGCAAACCATCGTTTAACTAGCAGAGATTCCATAGGCATCAAAGAACAAGTTTCTTTTCACCTTTACCTATATTGTTGTTGGTAAATGATACAGTAGGGATGGTTGAGGTTGAGATTGAGGTAAGAATAAGTTATGAGAATAAAGAAAAGGTCAGCTTGCTTCCGGGCCTAAGTGATCTTGTCTTCTTTGGGCCTTGGGCCAAGTAATATTAAACTTCAGTATATTTCTGGGGGCCGATATTTGTGTGGACCAAATCCAATATAAGCAGGCCACACAAGGTAGTAGGGCACTAGCCCATTTTATTTTAGATGGTCATGCAAAAGAAACCCAATTATTTCTTTTTCTTTTTCTTTTTCTTTTTCTTTTTCTTTTTTTTAAATAGAGGCTAATAGGCTAATATATAAGTTATAGACAAACTTTAGTAGGGTGGCACTTTTTTTCTTCTTTTTTTTGTCTTTCTAATTAGGGGTGACAGTTTACGACACAAACGCCTCCTTAAATTAAACATTTGTGCTTGTGGCATCTAAGCTTGATTTGTAATAAGGAAGCCTATAGGACAAAGGCAAGTCTTTGATCTAACATGCCAATTCCCGAGTAAATCTAAACAAATCATCATACGAATGCTATATACTATACAGTATGCCTATGCTTCTTTTTACGGTACTGTGAAAAGGTAAAAAACCCAGTTGATAAAAGTGAAAATAATTGAAGGGAGTTGATCTCGAGGTGAATAATTTGCTGCATGGTTAGAAAGGGATGGACAAACCGTGGCATAGGAAAAAGGCTTTGTTTCTTGGATCGGAAACCGAAACAAACCCATGTAGCCCCTCCCACCCCCACACAGACGCATGAGAGAGAGAGAGAGAGGGAGAGCTTAGACTTCCCTAGTCCCCACACTACTATACTATATGGCTCATTTTGTCTTCTTAGCCAACTTCTTTCAATATAATTTGAGCTTTCATGCATTCGTCCCACCACCTGTTCGGTAAAATGCCTCAAAGTGGCATTTCACACTTTTCACCTTTATACACGTAGGAGCCCACAACCCAAATCCCATATATGATTCTATCGGATACAATTATGTGTCTATTTTATATATTGTTTTTTTCAATCTTTGATTGCATACCACTATGTGTAATGTGTGTATTCTTGATTCACTATTCATTATTTCACGAACTATGTGTAATGTGTGTATTCTTGATTCACTATTCATTATTTCACGAATAATATCTTCTTCTTTTTTATCATAGTTTATATACAATTATGTATTTATTTCTCATTATAAAGCGACTAGACCAACAATTATATAGAATTATTGATAAAGAATAAAGCTCCTACTGCACATACAATACAATGATACAATATCACACTAACCCTAAACATGTACTAGAAAAATAAAGGGAGATATAGAAAGCTAAAAAAGAAGATGTCCTTGAATAATATGAAGAAAAAGGCCTTGTTTCATGGTGTGGCCGAAAAGCCACTTGGGGACAACTCGGAAGCCGAAAGCTATATAACAACAAACAAAAAGAAAACAATAGATTACAGGCCTTTCTTCTGCTGCCGATCGATCATCACAGCCCCTTACCAACTTCTTTCGTGCAACCGTGCAATAATCATGTAACATAGAAAGAAGAAAGAAAAGAGAATCGTTGCATTAAAAAAGTACGCAGAAGCAAGGCACACATGCGCAGGCTGTCAAAGACTGATTGACTGGACAAGCCCCTCACCTCATCAAAGAAATTTACTTTAGAAATTTACTTTGACCCCTTTGAAATTTTGACTGATTGATCCCTTCTTCTTCTTCTTGTGTTGACTTCAAAAGAGAAAAATGAAAATGAGGGGTGACCATCGGTCAAAGCATGGCTGGTATGATGAAAATTTGGGTTTTGGGGATTCTGACTTCTGATTTTCTATTCTGATTGATTGTACGGTGATGATGGGGGTGCTATGCTATCCCTCTGATGTCTAGGTTAAAATGAAAGCTTAAAAAGGTAGATCTTGAAATTTGGAGGTGGTGGGCCAACGGAAAAAAAAAATGTGGGTCTTTTTACAGAGTCTCCAAGGAGATTTCTGGCACTCTCTTGAGATTTGGATGCCATACAATGAGGAATCTCTTGCCCTCTGATAAATCTCTGACCCCAACCTTCTCAAAACACCAAACCCACCAAGCAAAAGATATATATAATTGATTATATATAAGATACAATTATATTATTGATAATGTTAACAAATAAAAGTGCATGTCAGCCTTATATGGACAAAACCCAGTTACCCAAGTTCAGACTCAACACAAACACAGAGGATGTGAGATGGTTTTGGCTTGGTGTTAATTAGGAGAAAATTAAACAAATTAGATTTATTGTGGGGTGTTTTTAATTTGGGATTAGGGCCAACTTTTTTTGCATTTCATGATGGACAGTTTTCAGAGCCCAAGCCTGCAGTCATTAGAGAGGACAGAGAGGTTCTCTTTGGAATTTGAAGTGTGTGAAGACTCTCTGGCTGTCGTAGAAGTAGAGTGTACAAATATTTGCAGCATCTGAATCACAACCCTATTTTTTTCTTTGGAACTTGGAAGATTTTATTGGAAGGTTTTGTCTTTGGATAAGAACAAAGAAGATTGAAGCCTCTTTAATAACAGGAGAAATGGTATTTTGCCTTACAATCTTGAGATTATAAAACACACTGCATTGTTAATCTGAATGGATCATTATTTTTAATGTGTCCCTAAATCATCAATTAATAACAATGTGTCTAACTTTTGCACTATTCACATGAGATATGAGGAGAGGAATTTGTATAGAGTTTTGATATGGGAAGTGAAGAATATGACTAGGTATTTATTTTTTTTTAAATTCTGAAATTTTTAGTTTTTTTTTTTCCCCCATTTTTTTTTTCAATTTTTTGTTATTTAATATTGTCCAGCCTGGTGGCTGGTGGAGCCCAATGCTTGCCCTGGCAAGCCTTGACCGCTAGAAACGGGATTGACGGGATTGGGGCCTAAGGGGCCTCTTGCCTGAGCTAGTCCCTCCGACTAGAAATGCTCTTAGAGGTGGAAAAAAATGAATAAAAAGGAAATTGAAATGCATTGTCCCATCAAACCATGGTGAACGTAGTCACACAGACATGTCACCTGCCAGGTAAATTTAAAGCTGGTCTAATGTTGGAAAAGAACCAAAAGGAGAAAAAACAAAGGACCTGTTAACCAAAATGATGGAATCTCAAAACCCTTGGCATGCAAGTATGCAAAACCCTAACTAAACCAGCTGACGGCGTTTTCTTTGGTAAGACCAACCACATTGAGACACTCAATTTTCCTCTGCCATTTCAAAGAAGGAGAAGTGATTAAATTAAGCTAAATATGCTTTATTAATCTAATGCCAAAGACAATCTCTGGAAATGTGAGATTTGTAGAATTAGATTATAGAATTAGAGGCTCGTTTTTCCAAATAAAACAAACACTTACTTTGATAATTTCAGACAAATGTTCCTTTTTGGGTTCCATTGTTATTGAAGATAGAGTTGCCCTAGGGCCTTGGCAAAGTTTCTCTATTTCTTAATTTTGGGTGCCTTCTCTCTCTCTCTCTCTCTCTCTCTCTCTCTCTTTTGTTTTGCCTTTTAATCGCATATTATTATTGTTAATGAAGTTAATTACTTGGAATCTGAATTGGTTAATCATGATACTTAGGCTAAATGTCCACAGAGTTTAAGAAAATGATTAAAGATTGACTTCAAACAAAAAGTGAGAAAAAGAAAAGGAAACATGTAGGGAGCTATAAACCAAAAACCAAATGATGTAGATTGAGACTGAGCTTGAAGAAAGGCTGTGGGAAAGGAATAAGAAATGCAGAGGCAAAAATGACTAGGACTTTGGCTTTTCACATTGGGATATGTGGTGCAGCTTTGCACACTTGCCTTTGCCCTCTCCAGTCTTCATCATCCATATGACAATTTTCAGGCAACTTTTTAGTGGGATTTCTATTTTTTTTTTTCTCTCTTTAACCTCACCACCATTTTGACTTTGCCTTTCCTCCATCCCATCATTCAAACCCATGTCCTCACACAAAATCTTCTGCCCATGTCTCCCTTAAACTTCATTTCATCGTGTCATGAATTATATACAATATGTAAACACAAAGGGAAAGCTACAAAAATATGCACAAAATATTTGTAGCCTAAAATCTTAAAGCATATATATATATATATATATAGGATATTGACAGCCTTCATGAACAGGCCTTTTATTTGGTAGCTACGACCTTAGAAACTTAGAAATGGAGAGCAAATTGATGAAATGACCTTGAATCATTGTATAAGTCCAATAAACTTGTAGCTATCCTTCTATAAGCAAATGGAATCATTGGGTGGCAAAAATGAATTTGAAGTATGGGGAAGTAATGTTGAAATATTCCACCAGCAAGAGCAGCAGGTGCAATACATGTGGGGGTGGTACCACTTCTTTCTGGCCACAATATATTTATCTTTAGCAATAACAGTGAGCATGAACTTATTTGGCAATAACTGTAACAAGTTCTTTTCACAAGCTTCCAGAGGGCACATGGGAGTGAGCCAAATTCAGCTGCATA